TCTGGTAACCTTTGCTTATTTATTTATCTCTTCACTTATTTGTTCAATGCATTGTTCAATTATGCAGTATTCTTATAGCTATAGTATAATTAATATTTTATAACTAATAATACAGTTAACACTAATCATAACTTCAATCTTGCTCTTTGGATGAATTTTTAGATAGACTTGTACAGATCTCTTTAATAATGTTCTGTTTTTTGAATTTTACCATTGTCGGGACATCACAGGACGTGAATTTTTTATCGGCATGGAAAATAAACGTGGCTATTTAGTTCCTAAGCCGACCGAAAAGGGACGTGCGTCACTAGCGTACAGCCTAGAGCACGGTGTAAGAATATAAAGGGTGCTTACGATAATTCAAGTTCGAGTTAGTTTCACTAGGACCGACAATGAGATATACATAACCATCTAGAACCTTTATGATTCATGACAACTCAACGCTGTCTTGTATTGCTTGAGTTAAATTCATTGAATTTGTTGAGTTTAATAAATATAATTATATACATATATATATAATTATATCTATTAAAGAGGTATACCAACATTATTTGTTTCTTTCATAGACTGATTTGCAGTTAACATTTTTATATACAATAAAATTTGCTCTATAAACTCAACAAATTCAATTAATTTAACTCAAGCAATACAAGACAGCGTTGAGTTGTCATAAATCATAAAGATTCTAGATGGTTATGTCTATCTCATTTTTCGGTCCTAGTGAAACTAACTCGAACTTGAATTATCGTAAACACCCAAAGTGATTTCACGGCAACAAATTTTTGTGATTTTCCTGTCATTGTTTTACATTGAATCGCTAGGTGGCTATGTGTTGAGGGACTTTATATATATATATATATACATATATATATATATATATATATAGAAATTTTATTAAAATTTTATTGTCCTGCGGAACTTAATTATAAATATTCATTTTCTTAAAAAAACTTAATTTTCTATAAAGACTGGAATACATTATTAATTATTTTTTCTGCAAATTTAACTAAGAATAATTTGTTATAAAAAATTTAAAAATATTTTGTCAGTAATATATATTTTTATACACAATGTTAAAAGTTTTATTTAAAAAAATTTGTATTATTTAGGACTATAATTATATATAGATGTACTTTAGAGATTCATTATCTATCCTTTTCTATCCACATCTTCTATCCTTTTTTACTTGGGATCTTGCACCAACGTGACATCTTGTGTGACATGCCTTAACTATGACATCTTGATCACAGATTTTTTGATAGAATACAATGGTCGTGAAATCACCTTATATTCTTACACCGTGGCCTAGAGAAAGCGTCGTACAGCAAACGGCAGCGTGGCCTCTCTCAGGTTTCTTTCTGCTATTAACTACCCAGCGAAAAATAATTCTTCGAATTGATGTCGAGTCGACATCAATACGATACAATATCGATGATTTTGACGTCAATTAGACATCCATTTGACGTCGATTAATAGATCATTTCTCGCTGGGTACCTCATGTGATCAACAAGATTGTTAACAAAACAGACGTCGCGACCGACAACACGCACATAACAGAAACAATCGTTAGTCGGCGGATCAACAGATTCCACATCAATAAAACATACAGGGTGTCCCAAAAATTTTGACACAGCGGCCGTATGCCGGTAGAGCAGACCAAACTGAACCGAAAAGTCCTCTACCATTTTACACAATTTTCACAAGGGTTAAAGAGATATTAATTATTAAAGATTACCGAATGCGAACGCACGGCTGAGATACGACCGCCTACAGACTACGGTCGCTAGGCGCGCGGCGTGCGGTAAGCGGCGAGTGACAAGCGGCGAGGCGGGGGAGCGGCGAGGCGGCGCGTC